CCCCAAAACCCCAAAACCCCAAAACCCCAAAACCCCAAAACCCCAAAACCCCAACAATTAAAATTTTATTTGAAATTTAATATAATTTTATGGAATCGGATTCATCATACATTCACAACATCACTGTAGCTGGCATTCTTAATAATCAAAATTTTCAACAGGCAAAAACTTGTGCTACATATTTACAGCGAACAAATCCGACTGAAGTGAAAGCTACCATCCACCAACTGTTCGAGACTCAGTGGGAAGAACTTCTGAAAGAGATTAAATCTACTAAAAAGGGGAAGTTTCATTACCATGAAGGCAATTACATAGTTTATGTGAACGATGATGAGTATCTAGGAGACTACAAAGGACTTGAAAAGTGGGCTCTCATGAATTACAGATATTCAGATAATTCCAATACAATAATATACAAAAGAAAAGCTGCTCTTGAGTTCAAAAAGGCGATTAACGATGTTAAAGGAAGATCTTTCTGCTTTATGGAGATCAGAATTGGAGAAGAGGCTCCTCAAAAAGTTATCTTTGAACTCTTCACAGATATAGCCCCTGACAGTTGTGAGAACTTCAGAAAATTATGAGGAGGTACCTTTACAAACCAAAAAGGAGAGAAACTAACGTATAAAAATACTGAGTTTCATAGAATAGTCAAAGGAGGGTTTGTCCAAGGTGGCGATCTCTCTAAATTAGGAATCACCAAGCTCGGCCAGAGTATTTTTGATGGATACTTCCCTGACGAAACTTTTGAAATTAAACATACTCAAGTTGGCCTCCTCGGATACTGCAAAAAGAGCGGTTTGAAATACTCAAATGAATGTCAATTCTATGTTACCACAGGAGCACCCCTTAGCTACATGGATGGCAAATATGTAGTATTTGGAAGAGTGGTCACAGGAATGAGAGCTTTTAGACGAATGGAAAAGATGGATAGCCTCAATGAAAGACCAAAGGATAAAATAGAGATATCAAACTGTGGAGAATACGATGCAAGAAAATAAAGAATATGAATACAAGCTTAATTGACTTGGATTTTCCACATTAATTCAAGCGTCCTTTGATGCACTGGGGTTTTGGGGTTTTGGGGTTTTGGGGTTTTGGGGTTTTGGGG